GTTAGGGGAGCCCCCCCCCAGCCCTGGTCTCCTCCAGCCCCCACCCCCTGCTCTGCCAAGGCCTGCCAGCAGTGCTCGCTGGGCCTCAGAGTTGGTCCAGGCTCTGCCGCAGGTTCTGTTGTGTGCACTGGAATATTGATTTTTCAGTGTGTGCGCGCCGCTCTGAAAAAAAAAAAATCAATATTTCAGTAGCTCAAGCACAGCGCAGAGCAGTGTAATGGAGCCGACCGGCTGATGTAATGTGCGGGGTCCACCCTCAGCGATTGAGGTCAGCCAGAGAATGGCAGTATGCTTCCCTATTTCATTGTTTGCTTCGCGGATCGGGAGGGGGTTGGCCTGTGCTTGTGTACAAGCATAGGAACCAAGACCAAAAAAAAAAAAAAAAAAAAAAAAAAAAAAAAAAAAAAAAAAAAAAAAGAAATAGGTAAAGGTGATGACTACAAATGTTGTATTATCCTTTTATGTGAGAACTCTTACATAAAACATTAGGCAATGTGGAGTGATTCTTAGCCATCAGTTTACCAAATGTCACAATGAGCAGAAGAAAATAGACTTGCTCCAGGATAAGTCTTGAGTTTGTCTTAGTACTGGCTCTCTAGGAGCTTATTAGCCTTCTGCCCTATAGTGTACCTCTGTTCAAAAGGACAACAGAGTCCCCACACAGTTTCAAAGGGGGAAACAGATCAGTAAGTGTTGTTGCCCGGGGCGACCTCCGCAGCTGATGGGGACAGGCTGCTGGACCTGAGTGAGGTATGAGGGGTCTCCTAGGTGCTCCCACTAGATGACCCCCCAGTTTTTGCCTGTAACTTAAAAGGTTAGAGTCAGTGACTTCTGAATACCCCCCAAAAACTACGATCTACAGAAGAAAGGATGATATAACTAAACACAAAAGCATAATTATGTTAAGTGTGGATCTTAGATTTAAAAAATGGATTAACACCAAAAATGTTTTCGAAGCAGAAGGTGAATTGTTCCAATCTGGTTGTCTTTGATTTAAATTACATTTTATTGCCACCCTCTTGAAGGGTAATTTAGTCACTTTCTAAAATACACTTTTTTGACCCAGCTTTTCTCTTTCTAAGAGAAGTTCATCACTGTAAGTTAAAACACTGGAAACAACAGTGTGGAACCTATTACATAAAATACGGTAATGGCATTGCCTTTAGCAGGGTGCAGCTGTTTCATACAGGTGCCGGCTAAGGAGATGTTTGCAGTTATTGATGTGCGTGTACTCCTGGAATCTCTATCTGTCCAGGTCCAGTGTCCCAGGGGCCAAGGATGTGGGTGGGCTCTGCAGGTGGCCGTCTTGGGTTGAAATCCCATTTTCATCACTGGCTAGCTCTGTATCAGCTCCAAGTGTGTTTGTTGGTCTCCTGTTGCCATTGGAAAGCAGTGCAGCAACTCACAGACATGAAGTAACACTAATGTGTATCTTACAAGCTCTGGTGCTAAGAAGTCCAAAGTGGGTTTCCGTGGGTAAAAAGGGTGAGGATAAATAGCATCACCTGGATAATCAAGAATCATCTCTCCAACCCAAGAGTCTCTTGCCATCTCCACGTGAGCTGTTAATGGGGCTTTGTAGCTGTTAATGAGCTAACACAGAAAGATCTGCAGGGTTGGGTTCCTTTCTGAGAACTCCTGCAGGGAATTCGGGTCAGTTAGAGTCTGATCACACTTCTTTGGTTTTGGCTGGCCATGGGGTTGAATCTTCCATGTCAGTTCCTCTTCCCTTCTGATTTTGTTAGGCCCAGATAGGTCATTAAGGATAATCTCCTTATTTTAAGGTCGACTAAATATCAAATTTATTTCTATTTGCAACCCTGTATTTCCTATGTCAAGCAACATGACATTACCACATCCGGTAGATGGAACTAAAATTGGTTTAATTTTTCCTTGTTTTGCAAATGTTTTTCTTTTCCCTTTTCTCCACCAGGAACATGCATGACTTGAATATCAAAAAATTTAATGAAATTTGGCCAGGTGTGGTGGCACACACCTTTAATCCCAGCACTCAGGAAGCAGAGACAGGTGCTCTTTGAGCCTGAGGCCAGCCTGGTCTGCAGAGTGAGTTCCAGGGCAGCCAGGGCTACACAGAGAAACCCTGTCTTGAAAAAAACAAAGCAAAACAAAAAATGAATGAAATGAGACAGATAAATAAGAGATTATCACAGTTTAATAGCAAAATAGTTTAAATGGGCTCTAAAAGGCCCAGGTGCTAGCCTCAGCATGACTATAAAATATGAGCTGTGACATCAAGCAAGTTACTTTAACTTCTTTCCACTCTTGTTCTCCTCATGGGTAATATGAGGGAAAGGAGTGATGTATTTGAAAAGATCTCTCCAGTTCTTAACTGTAATATTTCTAAAAAGTTTAAAGATCAACAAATAGTGAAAAACAAAGCATTGCTATAAAAAAGAAATCCTATAATATGAAAAAGATAGCCCTAGAATGGCAAAAAAAAAAAAAAATGGCGGAAGGCATCAATAAACACTGCAAAGAAAAAAAAATATGGCAAACAAGCATAAAGACATTAACCCCAGTTAGTGACAAGGAAAGAAATGCAAGTTAAAAAAAAAGACTTGAATCAAATATGCACGAGTCTGGCAACAAAACCAGACAGGGATGATGCACATTAAATAACAGCAAACATGAATGACAGTTCCTCACACCATTGTGATTGGAGCTTAGAAACATGATGGAGAGGACAGGG